GCCCCCTGCGTCTGCCCACTCTGGGCTCTCACCACTCCTACCTGTTCACCCTAGAGCCAGAGTGTTATTGTTCTCTAAATGCAAATCTGATCATACCATCCTTCTGCTGAAAACGCTTCAATGATTTTCCATTCCTTTTAATGGAAAAATCAAACTTTTTAATGTCGCCTAGCTTGGTCCCACACCAGGCTCATCTTTGATTTCTGGATCCAGTTACAAGCACAGCCTTTTAGTACCTGAAATATCTTCTCTTTCCTCTTCATGTAGGGCCCGAGCACACAGCAGCCTCTCTGGGATTCTGAGAATATTCTCCCCTTGTTTGGCTCTTTACTTGCTCCCGATTCCGTAGGTCTTGACCTCACCGCAGTCCGCCCTTTCCCGATTCCACTCCCCCTAGCTGGCTTGGGGTCCCCTCACGCACCATCCTGACCTCGCGCATTTCCTTCCCAGCCCTGTCTACTTGCCTGGCCACTGAATAAACATCTCCCCTGCTAAACGTAGGCTCCACTCTCTGCGGCTGCCCACAGTACCTTTCATGGTACATTTTTTACAGGAGACTTTCCATAACTATGTGTTGAGTCAATGAAACGTTTCTGTCACCCCTGATCAAAGGATCCCGGGTATGTCAAAGATTTCACTTTGTTTATTTTCGAGGTAGAATTCAGACAAGCTGAGGTGGTCACACTGTTAATTTTTCAGGCTGATCAGAAGCCCGACTGGAAGATGCGTATGTCTTGGCTAATTAGAAAGTGAGAAAATGAACGAGTTGTTACTTAGCCAGAGGGATGCGGTTACAGTGAAGAGTAAAAGCATGAGAGTCAGTCAGCTGGATGTGGCTGTGATTCTAGCTCTACTCTTGATGGAGCTGCATGATGACCCTGGACCTGTCGTGAGAGTGCCGAGTCTGTCTGACCATCTGCAAAATGGATTTACCTCTCGGGCTACTACGTACATCAGGGCCTACTGAGGTACTTGGGCACATAGCAGATGCTTGAAGTAAACATTGCTCTGTCTTTTCTTTCTTTAATCTCTCCCCCTCCCTTCTTTTCTCTTTCCTAAATGTAAAATTGTTTTGTAGTTTACATTTTTTTCTGAGCCCAACTCCTGAAGGTTAAGGACTCCTTAGCGATGTGAAAACCGGCCACCAGCGGTGGCCCAGATGCTCCGAAGCCGGTACCTGTCCTCGTGCACCTGCTCTCCTTGAGGACCCAACCACGAGGGGATGAGGGATTCTTCACATTTAGCTCTCGGGGCCTGGAAACCGGGAGAAACCAGAGAGAGACCTGCGCAATCTGAGCAAATAGATTTTGGGTGATGTCACTTATGCCAAAGGAGCCCAGGGTGGGTTTGCAGGGTCCGTTCTGTTGGGCTGAAGATGAGGCAGCAGAGGTTCACCCGCCAGGAGAGCGCTGCTTCTCACGGAGGGGCAGGGCAGGCGCTGCAGGGGCTGCAGGTCTCGGGCTGCCCCTGGTGTGAGCTTCCTCAGAGGGGATCCAGAGCCCATCCTGGAGATCACTGCAGGCCAGAAGGCCTCCAAGCAGCCAGCTGGGCTCCCTTCACTCAGCTATCCAAGGGTCAGCACTCTTTGCCTCCTCAGGCCCCGCTGCCTGGGCCAGTCTTGATCAGCAAGGAGCTCTCTTCCAGCCCAATGTGCAGTCCCAAACAAAGCCCTCGCTGACCTCTCCCCACCCATGCTGATGCCCCAGGAGTGCACAGGGCTGCCATGATGACACTGTGTGTTGTGTATTCTGTGTCTATGGTGCCTGGATTTATGCAGAGGGCAGACCTGGAGCGAGGCAACTCTGTTTATTGTCTGTCTCCTCTCTTGGATCCAGGCCGCAGGGACAGTGGATAGGGCTGGCACACGGTAGCTGTGTACAGAGCTGTTAGTTTGCTGAATGGGTAAGTGGGCAGGCACCAGGTGCCTGGCAACAGTTTTCCAGTTCCAGCTGGTTACGTGTGAGTGCTCCTCCTCCCGGGCTCTTGCTGCCCCACTCGGGGAGTCCTCCTTTTAATGTCCGGTGATATTTTTCTATCATTTTGTCTTTGCCTTTTCTCCAGCCTAGCAGGATCTCATGCATTCCCCATGTTGTTGCTGTCTGTAGCAATTTCATTGTTAATGGATGCAGGCTACTTCACAGAGGGGCTACCCAAGCCACTTTTCATGAACTGTTTCCCCTAGGACGAGTGGCAATCAGAGATTGTTCGAGGAACTGCACAGGTTTCAGGGCGGCCAGAGTGAGGCGCAAAGTGGGGAGCCAAGGAAATGAGCCAAGGAAAAGGATGCAGGAGCTAAAGTGCGCTCATGTTCACTACGACCTGTTGACTGAGACTAAGGGCTGCGGACCTAGTCTTGGAGGATAAGCGTAATAGATGGACTGGAAGAAGAGGGAGAGACAATAGGTGCAGAGTCTTAAAAATCATTCTGGTAGCAATATGGATGAGGAACGGGATGGGGGAGACTCCAGAAGAAGGGAGAGATGGAGAATTACAGGCGTGAAAAGATAGTGGTGGTTTGAACTAACGGCAGGAGAATGGGAAGACAGGGACTAGTTTATGAGATATTAAGAAGGCAGAAACAACAGGACTTTGGTGTGCACGGTAGTTTTGCAATTTCTCCGCATGGAGAAGAACAGGTTTGTGTGAAGGTGATGGGTTCCATTTTGGATATAAGGAGTTAAAGGACATGTGGGCCATCCATCGAGAAGCGTCCAAGGAACCGATGGATGGACGTATCACTCCACATCCATCCGTCCGTCCATCCATCCATCCATCTATTCAGGGCGATAGTAGTTTGGGAACTATTAGCATGCTCTGGTCACCAATCACCAGGACGGCGAAGTCTCCAGGGGACAGGGCACACTGAGAGGAGATGAGGACTGTGAATGGGATTCAGGGCAAGTCCAGCTTTCCATGAGTCGTACTCACTTAGAGGGTGTGCGCCTGGATGCTCGGAGGGCAAATGTGTATTTGGTCTGTTGTGTTGAGGGCATGAATGAAGACCATTGGAAGAAACCAAACATACCCACATCTTGAGGCATGCACGACACTGAGCACATGAGCTGTATCTTACCTGCTGGTTCACCTGAGAGGTATGACTGACGTTAGTAACACAAATAGTACGTGGTAGCCAGTAGGTAGGCAGATACCAGTATAAGGCTAGGATGGGACAGGGAAGGTCTGAGGGCTGTTTGCTACTTACACATTGAGAGGCTGCCAGGCCGGCCACTGGGCTTTGGCTTTGATGACAGTGAGGACCTCATCACTCTGCAAAGAAGAACCACAGATGTTTAGCGAACAGAACTGGGCTCGTGGGAGTAAGAGGGATTTGACGGTGACACTGCCCACTGCCATTCTTCCACCTGCTGTCAAGACTCTACCTGCCCTTCTTGCCCGTGATGGGGAAAACTTGGAGGTGGTGCCCGGCTGGCCCTCTGAGCCACACCTTCGGTCTCCAGCCTGGCCTCCCCTACTGGACCCAGAGCTCCAACGTGGACTTCTTGTTGGCCAGACTTCTCCACGGCGTTCAGCCTGCAAGGCCAATTGTGTGTCTGTGCCCAGGCCGGCAGGGTCAGCAGGTGCCATGGTGTGGCTGAGACTTTAGCCCAAGGGCTGTCACTCCTGGCCTTCCCTGCTGCTGGGACCCTGCCCCTTGGACACTAAGGCTGGAGCAAAGCGGGAGCTCTACCCACCTTGCCCCACTCATGAGATTCTGTTCTGTTCTGCTTTGGACAGCGTGTAGAGCGCCGCTGAAGCACGGGGAACCTAAAACACTTTTTACAGGGATAATTTGATGATTGACTTTTTTTGGATAACTGACATTTTGAAAGGAAACAGTCAGTAGTCATTATGGAGTAAAAATCGGGACTTCCATCTCACACAGCTTTACTCTGACAGTCGGTCTGGTGTTTACTTTCAGTTTCACCCTACCGTTCACCTGTATCGTGATGTCTGCAAAGCCTGAGGCCCACACAAGTCCAAACTCAGCTTTGGGTCAGGCTTTCCCCAGAGTAGGCTTGGCTGGCCTTAGATGTCCCCTATCTGTGCCTGCACCCAGCAGTGCTCAGACACCAGGGTCCATGATGCATAGAAGACTCTAGAATGTCACCAGCTGGGGAATGAAGAGCTTTTGTGCCAACTGAACAGATCCCTGAGTTCCAGGGGGGCAGAGATTGCTTGGCTGGCTCACAGCTACACCCAAGTCCTCAGAGCTGTGCCTGGCAGGAGGTGCCTAGAACATATTTGGGATGAATTGGTGAACTTCTCTTTGGTTGCATAACTCATCTAGAAACCTCACAGCCCTGAGGAAAGCGGGAGGAAGGAGGCTAGAGGTATCTTCCAGACTCGGGCCCAAGGATGATAAAAAGCCTTCTCAGTCCAGAGGGTCTTTTCTGTCACCAGGGAGGAGTCGTTGGGTGGTGGACCTCTGAAAGGAAGGGGCCAGCCAGATCCAGCATGGCAGGGTCCTGAACAGATGGTTCTGGGGGAGTGGAGGGCAGGGGCAAGGCCACAGGACAAGTCAGCAGAGTTCACAGCCTCTTTCTGGGTGCAGGGTCCCCAGGATGCCATTTTTGGTTGGAGGAAAGAATCTTTAGATACGCAGACACTTCCACACCCACAGGTCTGCAGGAAAAGCATTTCCTAGCTCCGCCTGGGTGATCACATTTTTCAAGGAAGATTTACTTATTTATTTACAGCGCACCTCTCCTAATAAATACCGGGAGAAGCTGTGTACCACAAAGTCGCAGGTGCATCTGGAGCTATTTCCTGAATGCCAGATCCATCTCTCCTGTTCCCTCCATGGGCCACACAGAGCCCCTCACCTGCCCCCAGAGCCCCTGTTCCCTCCGGGAGTCTGCCTGGTCTCCGTGTACATCTGCTGGCTGCTCGAGCGGACTCTGAGCTTCCTCCAGCTCTGCCTCTCACACCAGCTGGGTTCCAAGGCCTTCAGGGTCAAGCCCAGAATGCCACGCCCATTCCCTCCGTCCCAGTGGCTCCCAGGGCCTCTGCGACCACATCTCACTTCCTGCGTTTCGCCTGGATGGCCCTCATCGGCTGGCCCCGGTCTACTTCATGTTTCCTTTGATTTTTTCACTTGCAGAATGATGCGCAAGAACAGGGAGAAACTTCAGCATCACAGAGCACACAGTGCAGACGATGAGCACGCTCTACTTCAACACTACGCTGCCTTCTATTTTCTTTTCCAGAACAGTTCAGTTTCACGTGGCTCTTCCTGGGCTTTTTATTGTGCAATGCCATTGTGTGTGCATACTTTATCCATATCTTTCTCACAAACTACACCATACCACCTATCTCGTTCTGTGCCACAACTTTAACAGTGTTCCGGTATGACTCTAGTGACACCATACAGAGTACCTTAGTACTCTACCATGTGGGAGGCCTTCCATCAGTGTGCACCACAGACTGTGTGCAGTGTACGCTAAACACCACAGCTCTCTCCTTTTCTGCATTTTCAAAGTGTTGGAGACCTGCAAAATTACGGAGAGCCAGGTCCAGACATGACAATGAAATCCAAGGTATGAGACAAGTGATGAGATACTGTCCCCCGGCAATCCTTGGCCCTTCAAGAAATACTTCACTAAAACATAGAAATCAGTGTGGGTGGGGTTAAGGCGGCCACAGAGTTAGGTGGCCCTGCGCATTCGCTGTGCTTTACAATTAAACCTTGGTTCTCGGGCCCCAGCTAATGACATATTGATTTTGCTTTTGCAGCAAATAACTCAATAATGATATTTTGGACCTTCCATTAGTGTTTATTTATGATGGTGAAATTCTGTTTGTCTATTTCAGTTCTATGGAGGCTCCGAGGATGGTGAATCCAATGTGTGGGTATTACAGCTTCCTGCTGTAAATCATTTTGTCCAGGGCTTACAACAACATCTGTCTTATCCACAACTTGTTTCTTTTTATGATCATACATGCTATTCAATGTAATAAAAAATGAAATATTTTTGTTGAAGCATCAAAATTGTCTGATATAACCTAAATTCTATAGGAATGGAGAGCCTGGGCATGGTGATGTGTGCCGGTAGTCCCAGCTCTTGAGAGGCTGAGGCAGGAGAATTACTGTGAGTTCAAGTCCGGCCTGCAATATGTAGCAAGATCCTGTCTCAAAAAAAAAAAAAAAAGAAAAAAAAGAAAAGAAAAAGAAAACAAATGGAGACCTGCTGAATAGCCATCTCCAAACCTCAAAAGTGCACACTTAATTGTCCAAAGGCAGAACACATCATTCTTTTGACATACAGAGTTTCAGAACATGCTAGTTTAATGTTAAACTAGCATTATTAGGGGGTAGTTGTTTTCATGAATGATGCTGACAAGACTTGTATAAATATCTCTTTTTGTTCTCACGTGTAAGAGTTCCTGTGTCTTTGATTCCTAGGAATGATAAAACATGAATAAATTTTAAATTGTGGAGGGGCCAACTAAATCGCCCTCCAAATGTTTCTGTCCAAGTATACTCAGGTCCTTCTGGCTTGGACACACTGGATATTGTCCATCCTGCAAGAGTCATGAGCCCAGCTGCAGCGTGGTTGAGAGCACAGGTTGAGATCACACCCGAGTTCACATCCCGATTCCACCATTTACTACCTGTATGCGTCCCTTGGCAAATCTCAACCTCTCTTAGTTCTCTCATCTGTGAAGTCAGATTAAAAAGAAATCTACCCCATGCAGTTGTCAGGGGGGACAGAGTGACAGTTTATGTAATGAGCCAATGCTGCGCCTGCTACATATAGCAAGTGCCATAAACATCAGCCATCATTTTCTTTCTTTTGGTTTTCTGAGACAAGGTCTCTCTATATAGCAAGGCTGGCCTTGAACTCATGGTGATCCTCCTGCCTCAGCCTCCCTAGTGCTGGGATTACAGGTGTGTTCTGTCCTGTCTGGTGTCATTCATATTCCAGTGTACAGTTGGCCGTTTGAGTACAGGTAGATGGGCCACAGGAGAATGTTCTCCTGTCTGCAGGCCACTCTAAGTCTCTGGCCATGACTGATGGGAGGCTTTTGTAACTGGGAGCCTTGCACAGGGCCACTGGGGTGCCGGGCATGTCACATTTGGAAGAATGAAGGACTTGAATTCTGAGCAAGCAATCCACACATCAGACTTAAATGAAAAGCCCGTTAATAAGTCTCGAAGGCACAGACAGGATCTTTCAAGAATTCTTAGAGCCCTTTTACATCTCTTGTAGGAAACTTTCAAACAAGTATTTGAAGGCAGTCACAGTTCATGCTGTGTCTGGATGACATTAACACTTTTCCAAAGATAACGCCAATTAATTAAAACTAAAACCCCCCAAAGAAACGACAAGCCACTCGTGTCTTCCATTCACTTTGCTTTCGGTAAACACACTGCGAGCTGTGACAGCTGTACTCAAGCACTTGGTTACCAGCACCAAATGGAAATAACACAGCCCCAAACAGGCTGTGGGCTGAGGTCAGGTCTGGAGAGAGGAGCGTTCACATGGAGTGACAGCAGGCCAGGGACAGGCTGGAGGCCGAAAATGACATCAGTGTCAGGAGACACAGAGCAGGGGGGTAAGGATGTGATTGTGTTCTGGGAGGCAGAGGCAGGAAGGTGGCAAGTTCAAGTCCAGCCTGGGAAACTTAGGGAGACCCTATATCAAAATAGAAAAATAAAAAAGGCAGAGGATGTAGTTCGGTGTGAGGACCCTGAGTTTAATCCCCAGTATTTAAAAAAGTGTGAGTCTGGAGTTGGAGTAGGGGCCTTGTATGGTCTCCAGAGCCATCACCCAATGGACAGAGCTCCGGGCATCTCACCCAGGACCACAGGCAGAGACCTGGCTGGCATCAGTGTTTTCTTCCCTGCCTGGCTCCTCTGTTCCTACACCTTCCCGGCTCTGATCTTTTGACTTCATCCCGAGTCATGAATCACAAACTCTCCTAAGGTGACGCTGAGGCTCAGTTCCTAAGTCTGCTGTCCTAGAGGGAGCCTGGGCAACTTGCCTAATGTCCCTTCGTGTGTGTCACCCCCAAGATGAGTGGGACAGCAGTCTGTGATCAGAGAGGCAGAACAATAAAATGAGTAGGATTCTTTTTTTTTTTTTTTTGGTACTGG